AGGAGCCCCTAGTAGCGTGGCACTTGTTACTACTAGTAAGGCACTTGTTACTACTAGCGATGCACTTGTTCCTCCAAGTAACAAATTCATCTCGGTACTTTGGTCATCTTCGACTCCATTTGCCGACTGCGCAATCTTGCCCACCTTCATAGTGACCGTTGGTTGCTCAGTATGGCAATTGAAGCTATGCGTATGTGATCACAACTCAAAGAAGAGAAGGGGTCAAAACACAGGCTAAGCGGCTAAGCCAAGCTTTGAGTCGTTTTGAGAACAGCAATTCTTATGCTTGTTCTGTGTTTATTGTCTAAAGAGCTTTTTAAATGTCTATTCTTGTTCTTTTTATTTCTCATTTCTTCATTATAAACCTTTTCTTTTTGCTCGTTCCGGTCATTAGGTTCGTTTGGTTTGTGTTCGTTTTGCCTCGGTTGTTAGGACCAGGCTCAGCGCCTGGCCGATGCGCTCAGTGCCCAGGCCGACAGTCAAAGGAAGTATTTGCGTCATTGCTCCTAGTAGCGATGCCCGGGTTCCTAGTAGTATGGCCAGGAGCCCCTAGTAGCGTCCTTGCTCCTAGTTAGCAAAGTATAGCAATGGCTTCCAACCTACTAGCGATGGCTTAAAGCTACTAACCAAAAAAGAAGAAAGAGAGAAAGGTCCAATGGTTTAAAGGGGAGGGTTTGGGTTTGAGTTTGGTGAAAAGGGGCTCTTGGTCACTTCAGTCCCAGAAGCGATGTCAACTGATACCATCAAGAAAACTAGAGCAATGAACTTATTTGTTTGTTCTCTAACCTACTAGCAATGGCCTTCAACTTAATAGCGATGGCCTTCAGCCTAAAAGCGATGGCATCCAATCTACTGCATTTGTTTGTGCTCTAAAGGCAATCCTTTACAACAATATTATTCATTGCTATGCCTTTTAACATTCCCTCCTTACTTCATTTAACATTCTTCCTTCCTTCCTTCCTTTCTTCCTTCCTTCCTGCCTATAGTACTTGTTAAGTTTCCCTAAAAATCTAGGAACCAAATCATTAGTGCGAGCGCTTCTTCAAGGAAGCTCCCCGCGCCACCCTGGGAGCTTCCTTCAAGAAGCGTGAGCTATCGTGTGTCCAGTAGGTCGTAGCTAACTAGTAGCTGGGAGCGAACTAGTTGCCTTCCTTAATTATGTAGGCGCCTAAAAAGGAAAAAGAGAACAAATTATATGAAAGGAAGGCCAGGAGCCCCCAGTAGCATCCTTGCTCCTAGTAGCGATGCCCTTTGCTCCTAGTAGCGTCCTTGCTCCTAGTAGTAAGGCCAGGAGCCCCCAAAAAAAGCAAAAAAACAGAGAACGCAGGGAATTGTGTTTGAAGCGTAAAGAACTGCTGCAGAAAAGATCAATCTGTTGAGAACCCGCTTCCAATACGTTTCCAATCTCTTCAAAGTGCAACAAGCCTATATTTAGTGCACATGAAAAGCGAGTCCGGTTCGTTTCATGTGGATTTCTTTCTCTCTCTTTTTTCGTTTTTTAAGTTTTCTTGTTCTTTTCCTGTATTCTGAGTGGCTGAGAAGCTGAATGGAGGAACAGCTGGCAGAGCGTTTGGACGAGACTCTGCGGAAGGCAACAACTGCATGGACGCTCAGAGGTAGGGTGACTGGCCTTACTACTAGGAACAAGAAGCCACTAGGGGCTCCTGGCATCGCTACTAGGAGCAAGGACGCTACTAGGGACAACCTACAAGTGAATGGACGCTCAGAGGTAGGGTGACTGGCCTTGGACTTGCTTCCAACCTAATAGCGATGGCCTCCAACCTACTAGCGATGGCCTCCAACCTACTTGCGATGGCCTTCGACCTAAGAGCGATGCCTTTCTTTTGTCCTTTTCCTTTTCTTTCGGCTTGGCCAGTAGCTGCAAAGCACGTTGTGAGCTTACTTGCTTTACTTGGCAGGACATGGACAATTTTCGTTTGGGTTCTTTTCTTTGGACCTTTAGACTTTGGATCTTTCATTAGTTCCATCCTTTGGAGAAAATGCGGCGAACAACTCACCACCAGCTGAACGAGCGATCAGCTGGATTACTAAACAGACAAAACAGAACCACTAGATCGCAAGCCTGTGCGGAAACCGACGTGTCGCTTGGTCTGCATCACAGGTTTTGTTTTACTAGGATGCTTCTTCTCTAGGCAGTTACAATGTAGCAAAGCCCCAGTCACAACGGACCAGTTTGGCTAGTTCGTTGAGTCTTTCGGGTTGTTTGATAAAACAGATTCTTTCGAGGCCACGTCCTATGTTCCCTGTGTACATTAGTTTCTTGCATCCGCAAACAAGATAAAACACTTGCCAAAGTTTCTGTCATTGATGGCAAAGGTTGCAGCAGACTTGACCGCTTCACGGAAGCACGTCGCTTGTCTCAAAGTGGGTTTTAATGCTCGCAGCAATCAGAAACTGAAGCCGACCACATACCTCCTTGGTTAGAAATTGAAGTCTTCATCTGAAGCACCACAAATCTTTGCCTAGAGTGGATTTGTTGGATTCATCTACATTCCGGGACAGGGAGAGAAGTTTGGTTCATTCATGAGACCATTCTACAAGAACTAGCGATGGCTCCAACCCACTAGCGATGGCCTCCAACTTACTAGCGATGGCCTCCAACCTACTAGCGATGGCCTCCAACCTCCTG